CGACATTTTCGTTCTTTCCCACATTAATATTCTTCTCTCCTTTTGTAAGAATGTAGACATCACTCACAATGTTTCAAGTAATCCACCCACCCTACAAAAAAGGAACTCTTGCACGCATAGCATGCCTATGTTTTGAAATAGGTGTATGCCCTTGGCCAGACTTGAGCGCACTATTTCAGTATACTAGTCCGACACCCGTAGTATCACTACGCTTGATTCCAAGGATCCAGTACCATCCAGGTATCCCAGTTACCCTGCTCACAGGGTCTAGTTGTCGTCTTTTTTTTTTTTTTTTTCCTCCGCCACAAAATGGAAAAATTGCGCAATAGTACCCAGAGGTCATTGGGCCCTCAACACCATGACAACTAACTGTGATCCAATGAGGTGTTCACATGCTGATCACGCGTGTTATCTTGATGATGATTGACGTTGTCATACACGGACAGGGCCGGGTCACATGACGAATCACGTGATTTTTGCTTATGAAACTTTTTGGTCAGTTGTTTTGTATCTCAACGTATTTGGATTGCGATCTCCTGGAGCATTATGGCGCAAACGCGTAAAATACTTACAGACGCATATACAAGTCGTATTAATCGCGGCTAATCCACACTGAAAGATGTTATTTAGCGGTAATTTTGGAACGGATTGAGTCGCGAACGCTTGAAAGCCATGAAAGCTTTGAATGCCTTGTATGCTTAGTATGCCAATATCGTAGTTGAAAAACGTTCACTTGTTGTAAAAAGCAAAATCTGAAATCTGAAACCAAACTACATATACTCTATGCAATCTATTGAACAACACTACTACCGTGAGACTGAAGAACATAACTTTAATGGTGCAAACTGCTTGTGAAGAAAGACGACATGTTGGATTCACTTGATGGCAAGAAACGTAGCTACGATAACAGTACGAATGGTATTAATTTCACGATCAGAAAGGTGAATCTTATGTTCGTTTTCATTGTAGTTGTATGGATATTCTTTTTTAATAAATAAGTGATCCAAAACCCTGTGTTTTTTTATGTATAATGTTATTATATTAAATATTGTTTACGCAATTGTCTTGTCACAGGCGGCCCAAGCTCACGTCTCGAGAAAAAGCCAACGATTAATTCATGAACGCGTCACGCGTTGTGTGACTCGGTGTTAAGTTACGAGAGGAACTGTTGGAAATTTGAACACGTTATAAGGAATAGTATAGGGAACGAAGTATGGTCGATTTACAGCGATAAATATTTCGAAATATGAACATTTTTCTCGTAAAATCAATAAAACTTACTCATACCCTGTGTATCCGTTGTATTTTCTGGCGATTTCTGCCGTTTTAAGCTTGCTTTACCATCACTATTATTCACGTCACTTACTTTTATTACGTTGGTAAAATCTGTACAGACATCACACCAACCAACTCGCGCGCAAAGTAAGAAGACTATATTGAAGGCTTGAAATAATATTGCGATCGATTTTCATCAAGAAATGGGCCAGGAATATCCCACAATAGTGCAAATAATCGTGAAGGGGGATCGCAGAAAAGCGATTGCGTGACGCGCGGTAAGCTGTAAGATGACATGTTATTATATACCAGAATTAAAAACTCTTCAGATTCTTAGTCTGCATTTTGTACCCACTCTGCAGTCTGCAGTCTATATTTTGTATCCGGTCTGCAGTCTGCGGTCTGCATTTTTTACTAACAGGTATCCGTGGCACCAATACAGTTTATTTTTGGTTACATTTATTCGCAAAACACATAATCTACCTCAAAATACCTGTGAGTGAGGTAATTCGACATTTTCGTTCTTTCCCACATTAATATTCTTCTTTCCTTTTGTAAGAATGTAGACATCACTCACAATGTTTCAAGTAATCCACCCACCCTACAAAAAAGTAACTCTTGCATGCATAGCATGCCTATGTTTTGAAATAGGTGTATGCCCTTAGCTAGACTTTAGCGCACTATTTCAGTATACTAGCCCGACACCCGTAGTACCACTACACTTGATTCCAAGGATCCAGTACCATCCAGGTATCCCAGTTACTCTGCTCACAGGGTCTAGTTTTTTTTTTTTTTTTTCCTCCGCAACAAAATGGAAAAATTGCGCAATAGTACCCAGAGTTCATTGGGCCCTCAACACCATGACAACTAACTGTGATCCAATGAGGGTGAAGATGTTCACATGCTGATCACGTGTTATCTTGATGATGATTGACGTTGTCATGCATGGACAGGTCCGGGTCACATGACGAGCACGAGATTTTCTTTTGTCGGTCGTTTCGTATTTCAACGTGTTTGGATTACGATCACCTGAAGCGTTATAGCGCAAACGCTCGAAATACTTACAGACGCATACACAAGTCGTATTGTTCGCGGCCAGTCCACACTAAAAGATGTTATTGAGCGGTAATTTTGGACCGGATTGAGTCGCGAACTGTGTATCCGTTGTAGTTTCTGGTGATTTCTGCCGTTTTAAGCTTGCTTTACCATCACTGTTATTCACATCATCTACTTTTATTACGTTGGTAAAATCTGTACAGACATCACACAAACCAACTCGCGCACAAAATAAGAAGAGTATATTGAAGGCTTGAAATTATATTACGATCGATTTTCATCAAGAAATGGGCCAGGAATTTTCCACAATAGTGCAAATAATCGTGAAGGTTGATCGAGGAAAAGCGATTGCGTGACGCTCGGTAAGCTGTAAGATGACATGTTATTATTTACCAGACGTAAAAACTCTTCAGATTCTCAGTCTGCATTTTGTACCCACTCTGCAGTCTCCAGTCTATATTTTGTATCCGGTCTGCTGTCTGCATTTTGTACTAACAGGTATCTGTGGCACCAATACAGTTTACTTTTGGTTACATTTATTCGCACAACACACATAATCTATCACAAAATACCTGTGTGTGAGGTAATTCGACATTTTCGTTCTTTTCCACGTTAATACTCTTCTTTCCTTTTGTAAGAATGTAGACCACAAGTAATCCACCCACCCTACAAAAAATAACTCTTGCATGCATATCATGCCTATGTTTTAAAATAGGTGTATGCCCTTAGCCAGACTTGAGCTCACTATTTCAGTATACTAATCCGACACCCGTAGTATCACTACACTTGATTCCAAGGATCCAGTACCATCCAGGTATCCCAGTTACCCTGCTCACAGGGTCTAGTTTGTTTTTGTTTTTTTCCTCCGCCACAAAATGGAAAAATTGCGCAATAGTACCCAGAGGTCATTGGGCCCTCAGCACCATGACAACTAACTGTGATCCAATGAGGTGTTCACATGCTGATCACGCGTGCTATCTTGATGATGATTGACGTTGTCATGCACGGACAGGGCCGGGTCACATGACGAACACGAGATTTTTGCCCATAAAACTATTTTGTCAGTCATTTTGTATTTCAACGTAATTGGATTACGATCATCTGGAGCATTATGGGGCAAACGCTCTAAATACTTATAGACGCATACGCAAGTCGTATTGTTCGCGGCCAATCCACACAAAAAGATGTTTTTAAGCGGTAATTTTGGATCGGACAGAATCGCGAACGCTTGAAAGCATTGAATGCCTTGTATGTCTTGTATGCCAAGTATGCCAATGTCTTAGTTGAAAACGTAAACTCGTTGTAAAAAGCAAAATCTGAAATTTGAAACCAAACTGCATATACTCTATGCAATCTATTGAACAACACTACTACCGTGAGACTGAAGAACAAAATTCAAATGGATGCAAACTGCTAGTGAAGAAAGACGCCATGTTGGATTCACTTGATGCCAGGGAACGTAGCTACGATAACAGTGCGAATGGTATTAATTTCACAATCATAAAGGTGAATCTTATGTTTGTTTTCATTGTAGTTGTATGGATATTCTTTTTTAATAAATACATGATCAAAAATCCCGTGTTTTTTGTGTATAATGTTATTATGTTAAGTACTGTTTACTCAATTGTCTTGTCACAGGCGACCCAAGGTCACGTTTCGAGAAAGCCGGAGCCAACGATTAATTCACGAACGCGTCACGCGTTGTGTGACTCAGAGTAAGTTACTCTAGGAACCGTTGAAAATTTGAACACGTTATAAGGAATAGTATAGGGAACGAAATATGGTCGATTTACAACGATAAATATTTCGAAATATGAAGATTTTGCTCGAAAATCAATAAAACTTACTCATACCCTGTGTATCCGTTGTAGTTTCTGGCGATTGTTGCCGTTTTAAGCTTGCTTTACCATCACTATTATTCACGTCATCTACTTTTATTACATTGGTAAAATCTGTACAGACATCACACCAACCAACTCGCGCGCAAAGTAAGAAGACTATGTTGAAGGCTTGAAATTATATTACGATCGATTTTCATCAAGAAATGGGCCAGGAATTTTCCACAATAGTGCAAATAATCGTGAAGGCTGATCGAGGAAAAGCGATTGCGTGACGCTCGGTAAGCTGTAAGATGACATGTTATTATATACCAGACGTAAAAACTCTTCAGATTCTCAGTCTGCATTTTTTACCCACTCTGCAGTCTATATTTTGTATCCGGTCTGCAGTCTGCTGTTACATTTTGTACTAACAGGTATCCGTGGCACAAATACAGTTTATTTTTGGTTACATTTATTCGCACAACACACATAATCTACCACAAAATACCTGTGTGTGAGGTAATTCGACATTTTCATTCTTTCCCGCGTTAATAATCTTCTTTCCTTTTGTAAGAATGTAGACCACTTACAATGTTTCAAGTAATCCACCCACCCTAGAAAAAATAACTTTTGCATGCATAGCATGCCTATGTTTTGAGACAGGTGTATGCCCTTGGCCAGACTTGAGCTCACTATTTCAGTATACTAGTCCGACACGCGTAGTATCACTACACTTGATTCCACGGATCCAGTACCATCCAGGTATCCCAGTTACCCTGCTCACAGGGTCTAGTTAGCAGTTAAAGGCCCATTTCCAACCTTGATGCAACGCGCGCCGCGACCTAATTTCCTGTAACACGAAACTCCTACATCACTGAAAACCTTCTAAAATCGTCTTTCTCAAGAGCCATCCTGGAGATGTAGTCAACTATTTTACGGTAAATACATTCGCCGTTCGTTATTTTACAGTTTCCTTACAGTATTTTGAATTTTTTCTGGAAGAATCCGAAGAAAATCTTTTTTAAGTGTCACGCTTGGATCTCTTCGTACTCTGTGAACAGAGTCGGCGAAAAGGACAACGTTTAAATTTTTTCACTTTCTAGAGGTGCTAGAGGATTCTAAATGAGGATAAAATATTTCCAATAGAAATTGGTATTTTTTAAAGAGAAATATGGAAAAATATCAGACTGCCGGACTTTTAGTTATTCGAAGACCGTGTCCGGTAGTGTCCGGTATAAATTTTCTTAGTGTCACTCTAATCTCTAATCTCTTCGCACTTTGTGTACAAGGTCAGCGAAACGGATAACGTTGGCATTTTTTCACTTTCTAGAAGCGCTTGAGGATTGTAAATGAAGATAGAACATTTTCCAACGAAAAATTGGTATATTTCGCAGAGAAATGTGGAGTTATTTGAGGACCGAGCCAGCCGTGTCATTGAAAGAAGTGTCAAGCGCTTGGATGGCTTCGTACTCTGTATACAGGGTTAGCGAGAAACATCAAGTTCGAAATTTTAGGCTGCCTGGAAGCGCTTGAGGATTGTAGGTAGAGGTGGAACATTTTCGTATGAATAATTTTGGATTTCGAAGAGAAATATGGAAAAATATTGGACTTCCGGACGATTAATTATTTTAAGTTTAGTCACTCCATTTCAGGAACGTCAGCGACACTGACAGTTTGCGTTACAATTCTTATTTGCTGCTTTGCATGGGCAACAACCACGACCACTCTTTCGAGCGCAAGTTCCTCTCCACGGGCAGGAAACTTTTACTGACCCTTGGTCCTATTTAACAAGGATGGCAAACTTCAATTTAAAAAAATTGATGACTGAATGAAAACGTGGTGGATCAACATTTTCATTTTAAAAAGCATTCAGGCCGAGTTAATAAAATTGCTGAATCAGCAGAATAAAGATTATGAAAGCAACACAGAGGTTGGTATTTAATTTGAATGTACATACTGTTTGCATGAATTTCTTATTTACATTCACCTCAATATTTACTTTTTACAGTATGGTGCATAACTAAGTTATGCATTGTTATGCTTCCTATAGGCAAACAAACCATTTTCTTTGTTATGTGTAGACTTAGTAGAAAAGGCAAGCACATGTATAAAAGATAACTTGAAGTAAAGTTGTCGTATTTGAAAATAGTGTTGGGCGCTTTTTCTTTGTTCTGGTACCTGTACCTGGGTCCTGCCCCTTCTAAAAGGAATCTTCTCAGAGCCACCACTGACATGTTTGCTCTATAAGATTCAACCTTATTTGTTTTCATTAACATTTATAGGTTGGTGAAATCAGTGAGTCTGGATCAGTTGAGGAATTATCAACAGGACATTTCAATATGCCTTATGACATGGTTAGAGAGGGTATGTCAGTCTATTTAGTATCAAAATTTTGGGAATGTTTTTGCATCAGTACTTACTTTGTAGCTGCATTTTCTTCTGTAAAGTATGTATTGATTACGTTTAAGATTATAGTTTTCTTACATGGGTCACCTATGAAAACTGTCAAAAGTTTGATTTATGTCTTCAAATCTAAAGACAGTTATTAACCCATCCATTCCTAAGAGCGACCAATGGGTAACTTCTCCCTGCAGTGTCAGTACATTCTCAAACAGCAAGATGATAAGAATAAATAATTCTTTCAGTGTAAGAAAAAAAAAATGTTAACAGACATGAAGGATAATTGACTTTGAAATCTTAGGAGTGAAGGGGCTTAGTGAAGGTGCTTTATTTTAAATAAATCAGAGCACAATGTCTTTTACAGGAATTGAAAGTAGTTTAAGAGAAAAATGGAGATTGCTGAAGTCAAGGTTAGAGGAAGCAAACAAAGGCTCTTCAAATGGTAAGAAAAGACATTTGTAGACTCCCAAGAATAAAGTGAAGAACTTTGTCTTAGTTTACTTTAAATCTGCTTTATGCACTAGAACCCTCTTCCCCTAAAGCAGAGGAAATTTCAAGGTTGGAAAGGCAGTTGGGGAATTACAGACATGTTTTGGAACAACAGGAACAACTTATAGAAGTATATGAAAATGGTTGCTTATAGTGTATTGTTTAACCTGGGAGATACAATGGTCCAATGGTTTGTGCACTGGACTCTGGGCCAAGATGTCCTGGTTTGACCCTTTAACTCCCAAGATCTCATTAGTGATTCTCTTTGCTGTCTGCCATACAATTCTTATGATTTCAATTTGGAGAATTTGGTATTGCTTGATAGTGTATCGATAATGTAAGGAGAAATTCCCTCTTAGTCACTCACAGGGGGTAAAAGATTAAGACCTGAAATTGTGTAGTTCTTGGGCAAAACACTCATTACTTTCATCTCTCTACCTAGGAGTATTGATAGGTGCTGATGAATTGTCAGGGAAGCCTGATGAAATTTTTTTGTTTTTTTGTTTTGTTTTTTTTTTTGGGGGGGGGGGGGGTAACCTTGCAATGGACAAGCATTGTTTCCAGGGGGGAGTAGAAATACTTCTAGTTGCTTCATGCTAAGGAAACTGGAATTAGCTCTGGCTGGATGGGCCTCTTGGGTTGGGTACAGACTTAACCTTACTGACCCAATAACCTGAGAACTTTTAAGAAAGTCAATAGACCTTTTCTTTGTGATCTAACTTACTGTATACTCATAGCTGACACAATTTTTTTCTTTAGTCCTTGCAGTCAAAGGTTGATTCTCCCTCAAAAGATTCAACTCTTTTGGTAAGTATTTTGAATTATTATTCAGCCATAATGTGATTCAGCTCTTTTTCATTAATAAAAGAAAATTATGGTTTTATTGCTATTTTAAAGACAGCTCTTGAATGATATTTCATAAAAGTTTTCTTCCTTCTTGTAACAGGTTGACTCACAGCTGTATGAGGAACAAGAAAAATTTGAATCTGACAAGCAGTTCTTTGCTGAGCGAAGAGTAGCGTTAGAGAATGAGAGGAAACAGCTGACAGATGCTGCTGTAAAACTTGGGCATGAGGTTATAACCAAGTGGAAATACAATAAGCAAACAAAATTCCTTTGATTTACATAGACAGGCATAAAAAAATCAGTGTAGAGATTTCTCTATAAACGCTTATAGTCATTTCCAAAGGATGGCAGCAACCCTTATTTTAGAGAGAAATAGTACTACTGTATGTGCTAACTTTGTAAGAAGGTTGCTGCATATTCAGTGACCAAACAAAAGGCTGGGATATTGGAACACCAACACGAATATTTTTACAAGCCAAAGGTGATGGAGAATGGAGAATATTCTTAGAATGCATATACTTGTACACAGTGCACTGATTCCTTTATATTATTTTTAGCGATAATTATTATTTTAATTTTTCAGAGAAAGAAGTTTGAAGAGGAACGAGCTTCATTTTACAAGCAACAGCTTTTGACCCCGTTAAGAAATCAGTCACTTGGGGGAAGAAAATCAAAATGTAAGGCTTTATATGAACTTTGAGTGCTAATTGTTTCACCATGGCATAGCAGTATTTTTGGTTTTGTTAACCGTCTGGCTGTACATCTATCTTCCCATCATTCTGTGCACCTGTCAGTCTGTTCCTCTGTCTGACTCTGCCTGTCTCTGTCTGTCTGATTGTGTCTGTATGTCTGTTTCAGTTTGTCTCTTAGTTTGACTAGGGAAATGGCCTAATATAAACAGTCGGCTGTGCATCTTGCAGCTGGTTCGAAGGGTAGTTGACGTATTTCAGTGTAACCTGTTCGTCAAAGTTTTTCCTTTGCTCTAATTCTTCAGTAGTCAGTTTTATGTAGGTTTAAATGATAATTTCTCTTTAGCACCAGATGGCCCTCGGCTTCAAGTCAGCCCCGTGTCGTTTTCACCTGCACCAAGAGGTCTTATCTCATCCGAAACCAGAGGCACTCCTAATATCCCGCGGGACGGACCCGTGGAAATCCCGAACACAGAAGAGCTATATAAGGCGTTGTCATTAAGAACAGAAAATTCTAAAGATGTCAATGAAAATAACGGGTGAGTATTTGAAAGGAGTGTCACTTTTTCTAAATTCTTTCACACTCCGTTTATTGATGTTCCTTATTCGTTTAATGGCAGCACACCTCTCAAAGGTTATTCCATAGTAGAGGGATCTGAGAGGACATCACTGCCCACAAAACAGTCGTCCTGTGGTGACTCTTTGAAAGAAAAGCAGATTGACTCGAATACCCCGGGTGCAAAACAAGCTAGGAGAATCAGCGAGCATGCGCGGAATGTCAAGAAAGCTCTGCAGTTGAAAAGAAGTTCATCTGGTGATTTGTAAAAACTAGTACCAGGCCAGCGCGGTTCTTTGTACCCCTCTTTAGCTGGAAAAGAAATACGACATTGGCTCAAGGTCATCGTAGCTTACACTGTAGTCTTGTTGTAAGAAACCATCTGAGTAAAAAGTATTTTGTGCCATAGTAATGATCTGTTAAAGTCTGTAATCGCCCGTCTCCTTAGATGCTGATTAGGTGAAGTTTCTTGCCTACAAATCTCTACAAGAGGCCTAAGGGTGATCAATTTCACAAGTACTTGTAAAAGTAACTGCGTCCAATTCTGATGAGTGTGTCAGAATTCTTTTTGGAGTGGCTCTTTGCATTACTGCTTCATTTAGTTGACAGATTTCTTTGTCGCGTGCACCGGTGCTCATTACATGAAGTTAGTCATTTAAAACATTGAATACCTATCAACTACCATTTCCAAATTAGTCTTATAAAGCTAGAGAGATGTTTTTTAATTTGAATCTGACAAGCAACTGACGAGCTAAGAATTGTTGATATCGTCATATTTTGCAGTAGCTGAGTTAGCACACTCTCGACGAATTGAATTTTACCAAGAAATGGAGTTAGACTAGAAGTGTGGGGTTAAAATGTGGATGTAAATGTTGAAATGTATAATCTAGTGTACTATACTAGTTAAAAATACTGCTGCTATGAGTAAGCTCGATTTTCTTAAAAAGTGGATTGAAATTGAAGTCTTCCATCTCTCTATTTACTTACTCCACAGTTTAGACATAATTGATCTCAGCAGAATGCTGAACGCATTTCACATATGAATCTATTAACGGCCTAACATGCCATAGACTTCTTTGTCTCTCAGTCAGTCAGACACTCAGTCACTCATTACAAGATAAATAACGAATCTCCTCCTTCGATGACCATAACAATTTGCAATCCTCTCAATCGATTCTACTACAATATGGTCACCCACCCCTCTCCTTATTTTTGACCGTCGACCGACTCCTTAATACAAATTTCTTTCTCTCCCCAGTCTTCCGCTGTCATTAAAATCAAAGGTGACGGTCATAATTTTTGTTAAATACATATGAGCACTCGCTCGTCAAAATTACGCCTACCTTGCAGGCTATCTTGTTGGGACGTTATCTTGATACACCACAAATTCTCTAACACAAAAACAAAAGGTTTTTCCATCTTCCACCAAACCACCATCTGGTTGGTCCAAGGCATTATTTACTACTACACACAAAAAAGATGTAAGATCAAATCCATCTAACTATCGCCCCATTTCTCTTACATGTGCAGGTTGTACGATTATGGGGCATATAATGCGAAGTCATATTTCCAAACATTTATCCACGAAGATATCATTATTAATCACCAACATGGCTTTAGACAAAAATTTTCTTGTGAAACCCAGCTTATTTCAGCCATCAATGACTGGGTAAAGAGCATCAATCACCGCACTCAGACCGATGTGATCCTTCTTAATTTCGAGAAGGCTTTTGACTCCGTTCCCCACCAATGCTTATTATCTAAACTGAACTGCAATGGTATTCGGGACAGATCATTAGACTAGATCAAAGCCTTAGTCACCGACCGAACCCAAGTGGTATCGATCGATGGAACACACTCTTAGCCCCACACCAGTTGTCTCTGGAGTTCCCCAGGGGTCAGTTCTGGGCTCAATATTATTTCTACTCTATATCAACGACATTACAGATAACAGCGCCCACGTGCGCCTTTTCGCAGACGACATCGTCATCTATAGAGAAATCAATACACAACAAAATCATTTTGCACTCCAATAAACTTAGATAACTTTTGAAAATGGGAGACCTTTGGCAAATGATCTTTAATATCACTAAATGCTATCACTTGGGAATAACTAGCAAAACTGTTCCTTTTTGTCACGATTATTTAATGAATGACCAGACCATCTCCAAATATCAAGGCATCACTTTAATTCAGAAACTCGATTGGAAAACACTGTGACCTCATTTGTAGCAAGGCCAATGAAACACAAGGCCTTCTAAGAAGAGTCCAAGGTGACTGCAATACAGATGTGAAATCGAAAGCCTATGTTAGTCTTGTCCGCCCGCAGTTATAATATACCAGTTCTGCATGGAACCCTTAATTAAAACTAAACGTAATATTAACAAGATTGATATGGTTCAACATAGAGCAGCTAGATTTGTCTAACACGATTATTAAAAATCATTTCATGTTACTCCTATGATTAATCAACTCAATTAACCATGTTCTACAAGATCCAGCAAGGTCTAAGGGTCATCCGCTTCCTCCTAAGGTTTTCCCTCTAAACAGGGCATCTCGGCTTCCAAATTATACTCCTCATCGCCATATTCAGTGAAACTGCAATGTCTACAAATTTTTTTTTATCCAAGGTCTACTGTAGATGGAACCAACTATCCTTAAGTACTTTACCACTGCAAAGCATCTCACTACTATATATTTGGAATAATTCTACTTAGGGACTTGTCAGAAATTAGCAGGGGGGGAGGGGGGGTGGAAACAGAGGGGGGGTCACAACTTTTTGAGCCTCAGAAAAGGGAGGGGGCATGAAAAATGGGCAGTTAAAAGGGGGAGGGTCATGCAATTATATGCCCGTGATCATGTAGAGGTTCACCCACAGAAGAAAAAGGAAGTTCCTTATTGGGAAGAGGTGGATGATCATGATGAATGTGAGGTAGATGAAGGGGATGAGGCATTACCCACTTGTTCTAGTGATGAAGACTTTGTATTGGGAGAAATAGGAGAGTCGAGTGATCAGTCGGACTCTTAATGCTGTCATCGAAAATGTATGTATGTAGCATGACAAAGAACAGATTAGAAATATATTTTGAGTTTTCATAATACTGACGCACCCTAGTGTATTGCAAGAACTAGATTTTATCATTTATACAAGAGGGGGAGGGTCATGATATTTTAGGCCAAACTCAAGGGGAGGGTTAGCAAATTTCACTCCCATTGCAGGGATGGGTCACCTAATTTCCGAACCCAAATTTAAAATTCCCACTCCCCATCCCCCCCCCTGCTAATTTCTGACAAGTCCCTTAAAGTATGTACTTTTTATTTCCTTAGTTATTTATTTATTTATCTATCTAGTTGTTCATCCACAATTTACTTATTTATTCACTTTTTCAGTGTTACTCTATCATTTACTATTTAAGGTTTTGCTAATTAGATGGTTAATTTAATGATGTACATGTAAACTAGTTTTTATTGTACATTGGCCACGCGACGGAGGGACTGCTCGTAGTCTAAGTATGTTTTTTTTTTAGCAATATCAAGTTATTAGTAATTTTTACCGCTCTAAGGGTAGATTTTTTTTGTTTCATGCCGAAAGGTATGCAGTCTTCTTAGTCAGTTGCTGAACTTTTCCAACACTCTAGGAAGCCATTTAAGACCACATTCAGTCTTGATACACGTGCCTTTGGTAATCCACTTTCCGTTCAGTTATCTGTTGGGAATAAAAGATGCAACAGACTTAATGTTGATCATGATATTAGAAATGGCTTCCTTCTTCAGGAAAACTCAAGCGAGATCAGGACAGGCGAATAGTAAAGTCAAAAACTACGGAGACACGGGGACACCAGTTTATAAGTGCGATGACGAGACTAAACAAATTCAGCTATAAAAGTCCGTACTATAGCTACCACCCTTGTAAGCTTATCAAAATGTTGAGTCGACTTTAGCACTCCAATTCTTGCAAACGACAGCGACTATACTTTATCCCAACGATAACTCGAAGATTTGTGACTCATCAGAAAGGCTGACGAGATTTCGAGATCGGATGAAGAGTTTGCGTGACCCCTGATTTTTCAAAGAAATTTTCGCATCTCTTAAAATTATGACCTTAAGCCAGAATTTTTTAAATACTGTACAATAATACGTTACCGCGACAGCCGTAGAGCTCCACCCTCATTCCTATGAGGCCAGACCACTCTATTGGTCGAAAACGAATATAGCGTGCTCTGATTGGTGGAATTAGTTCATGTGACACTACAGTATCCCTGTCTGTGTTTCCAGGAAAAACCTGTTGTTTAGAAGAGATATATTCGTGGAAAAGAAAACTTGTCTTTTTTTGTTATTTAACTTATGCTACTCGGCTATGATTCTTTACTAAGTAACTGGGTTAAAGAAATTCTTTAAAACCACTCATGGTAAAAAAAAAAAAAACTATTTGATAGCATACCTGGTTGTATTTAAAATCATGCTAAGTTAGAAGACTTACAACTGTATTTTTATGAGATTAGATAAGTCTGCTGCTGCTTTACTAACTCATACCTTGTCAGTAACTTGGCCTTCTTCTCTGTAATAGAGGAAGGTAACTCCATCGTCACTGTACTGAAGTTTATATTTGGTCACAATGCGATTATGATAATGATTTCTGCCCTGTGTAGCTATCTTTGTTACAACATAAGAATGCTGATCCAGTAGATCGATCTGTAGCCATTGGTTGGTGTCAGATATTTTAGCTATCCAGCCTCCCCCAGATACTCCATTCCACTTGGATTGTAGCCTGCTGTGCTTTGCTCCTTTTTCTGGAGCCAGTTCTGTAGAGGCACTGAGTTGTGCATCAGAAATATCACCGCTTTCCATACCCAGGGCATCCTGACAGTCTTAATTAAATAGATTAGGCGTCAAAGTAGTGTTTAATACTGTAAGGAAACATAATGAATCGGTGATTGTAACACCAAAATGTTTGCGAGGTAATCAGTAAAAACTCAATGCGGAACTGGGATTAGATTCATCTTTTCCACCCCGCAAGTTTCTAGTAACTGTTATTCCTTACATATTATTCAGATTTTTTACTATTGCTCTCTCCCTTTTCACTTATTTTATATATTTATCCCATTTTTCTTTCAGTCACGAGATTTGAATTGACGATTCCTCCAGTAACTGGTTGATCAAAAATTCGAATTACTTTCGGCTAACTTGCTTTATCACTATAGTAGACAAAAGTCACTCTAAGCTCAATTCACTCAGTGAAACATTATGATCTGATTTCTGAGTAAACAAGGTTTAGCAGTTGTTTTACAAAACTGTGTCCTAAACAATCCTTATTTAGCTGAACCTTTTATGTGAACATTCATTTTTTTTGGTGAACAGTGTTTAGTGGGCCCGCCAACTAACAGCGGAAGGAAATCTATATAATTAAATCGACCCTCTTGTGGAGAAAGCCTGAAGCCCTCTGATTGCGTAAAACCGTGGTTTGGGTTAGACCTCGTGCCAGAACCGGCCCTATGATATCATATTTAATTACATTAGTAACATACCTTTCTCACATACATTGCCAATAAAACGTGCAGGACAATTACACAAGAATCGTCTTCCAGTCACGTGACAATTTTCTCGACATGTTCCTCCATTAAAACACGGCTGAGCCATGCAGCATCTTTTGAAACACTGGGTACATGCCTGGAAGGTAAGGAGGTTGGGTCACTTTTTATCATGGGAGAAACGGAGGGGGGATCAGTCGTCGTTAATAGAGTATAAAAGGGGGACTAAAAAAAAATGAACTGCCCATAGGGGGGGGGGGATCATTAGAATAATACAGATCCTCGGAGGATGAGGAAGGGGTCGAGTTAATTTTATTGAGATATAGTTGAAATCCTCTGAT